AAACATTTATAACAATTCAATTGTTATTTAATAATGGTCGGTATTTTTATTATCGCCCGAAAAAAGATTATAAAGAAAATAATTGATCGATATTATCGGCTCTTAAATAGGTACTAATTGGATAAATAAACGTCAAATAAAAATATTATATATGGCAAGCGTTACGATAAACAGTAGCTCATATAACACAAACATACATGCATACATACATATATGAACGTATATGTAAATAAGCGATCGTCGATCTCACTCTCTTCTGCTGCTGCTGATCGGATCAAAATGAAGAAGAGTGTTAATTAGATTGATCACATTTCAAAAAATAGTAACTAAAGTTTTCAAGTAAAAATAAAATATCTAACAAATTATTGCAAATTTAGTATTTACAACTAAATTTTAAGATATTCTGAAATATCACGAGCTGTTTAAAAAAAAATCACGTGATTTTTGCGGAAAATATTTAATTGCTTCATACAAAAAATGAAAACGGGCACAAATATCAAACTTACACTTTGGCAATACGATTGTAACGCATATATGAATGTTCGGAATGTTTAGAGGACATTGCATCCAAATCGATACGTGGTGACATTATTCCTTCCTTATCTCGATTATAATTTTTTAATATTTCGATTATCAATTAAACAATTTATTTCACTTGTTTTCTGTTAAGCTTTAAAATGTTCACTATCTCTTCTTAGCCATTCTTTTTGGTTTGTTGAACGATTTTTTTGTGGCCGTATTTTAGAATTTGTCGTTTTTCGGGTTATCCTTAAAGACGTTAAAACACCGACCCCGGCCTTATTGTCGAATAGTTTAACGCCAACTAAACTTTTGATTTGATCTGATGTTGGCAAAAAGCCTCTGGCGCCCAAGCCCCCAAAACGAAACTGAATTGAAAGGTGTTAGAATTGATTGTTGATTATTTTTATTTTATTTTCGCTTAATTTTATTGAAAAACAACATTTAAATCGTATTCTATTTGATATTCAGTTTTGAGGGTTGGGGAGACTGTGCTAATTATTTTAATAAATAGCATCTAAAGTTAGTTGTGCTATTTACGCGTAGCATTTAATTGTTTACTTCGTTTAGGGGTAACGCAAATAACACTGATCGACGGAATTGTAAGCTAGAACAATATCATGGAGAAGGGAATTACAAAAGGGAGCACGTGCCGATGGAATTAATGCTCTGTTAGATGTGTACAAAATTCTGTTCATTCATCACAACTTTGTAATGGTTCTAGAGATCTCTCTCGTTCATCAACATTTTGGACAGCTTTAAAGCGATCTTGATAAAAAATACAAGCTATTCAAAATGTATGTAAATGTATGTATGTAAGTTCGGCCGGGCTGAACTTTGGATTCCCTCCACCATAGGTTTACTGACACATACTTCTTATATAGGAAACATACCAAAAAGTGGAACTATACCAATAATTCTACAAACCGATTTATGTAAAACATTATGTACACCAAATAACAAATTTCAGCGAATTCAGTTGAAAAACGCCTCAAAATACCAAAAATTGGGGGCACTCTTATATGGAGGCTAACAGAAAAAAATTGACCTATATTTATAAGTTTTAGTGAAGAAGTTTGTTACCTAATAAGAACCCAATGTAACGAATTTTAGCGAATTCGGTAGAAAAACGATAATTGGTGGGTACCCTTATATGGGAGCTATAACTAAACGTGGACCGATGTAGTCCATCTTCAAACTTGACCTGCCTGCAGATAAAAAGACGACTCAATGCGATCTATCTCAATTCGTTTAGAGGCTAGGGTGATTACAAAAGTCGAACAGACGAACCTACTTAGATCGTTATAGAATTTTACACTGATCAAGAATATATATATAAACTTTATAGGATCGGAAATGATTATTTCAATGTGTTACAAACGGAAAAACAAAACTAATATATCCTCCATACTATGGTGGAGGGTATAAAAAACCATTAAAGAAACATCAAAAGTCAGGCGATCCGACTATATGATACCCTTCACGACTTTGGGTACAAACAAGAGATGCTCATATGTACAATATCCTGTATATAGAACATACATCGCATCATTGGAGGACCATTGAAATGGAATCGGGCGAAATTAAAACCCATACACATACCATTTTGAAATCAATAAAAAATTTAATAAATAATCGGGCAGACTTGGATTCTTTGGTGTGCCATTTGTATGAAATCTAATTGAATAACTGTGATATACCCATTTGGCATGCGCACCACAGTGTGCTGTTCACAATTTTATTTCGTTAGGTGAAACCTTTATTATTTGGTGAAAAAATTGCACGAACTCAGACGAAAATATATAGGGGTTATATCTACATCTGAATATATGTTACAAAATCCAATACGCGTTATTTTAGCTCCAATTTGGTACGTGGTACACAAATCGTCCAAATCGAAAAAAAACTCTAGTTATTTGGTGTACCATTTAGATGAAATCGGATGGAAATATTTATGAAAGCTATAGCTAAATCAGTACCGATTTTAACAAAACTTCACAGACTTAAAACTAGGCTTAATTCAGTACAAAAATTTTTGTCTTAATCGGATAAATATTGGGAGTTTGGTGCACCATTTACATAAAATTGGACGGAGCTATATATAGGAGTTATATTTAAATCTGAACCGATTTTCTCTCTTTGGGGTCGTCCTTGGGCCAAATAAGTGACTTGTGTCAATACACCACTTTGGTACACCAAATCCAAAGATGTATAGGAACTATGGTACACCATTTACATTAAATCGGAAATGTATATGAAATGTATATGTGCGCTATATATAAATCTGAACCGATTTTTTTCCAATTTCAATAGGGTTCATCCTTGGGCCAAATAGATGAGCTGTGTTCATCCAATTCGGATTATAAGTGTGACCTGTACTTTGTTTACAATTTAACATGGACAGACAGACGAACATGCAGAAAGTGATTCTATGCATATTCTCTCGTTTCCTCGTTGCCTGTTACAGACATATGCACAAAGACATAATACCCTGTACCATAGTGTGGAGAAGGGTATAAATAGGATGGATTAAATTTCCATCTGCGAAGCCTTGGCCAAACGGAATGAGATAGACCCATTTCTTAAACGGATGGTGACTGCAGATGAGAAATGGAATACATACGATAACCCTGTGCGAAAACGATCGTGGCCAATGAGTGGTGAAGCACTTCAAACGGTGGCCAAACCAGGACTAACGGCCAGGAAGGTTCTGCTATTTATTTGGTGGGACTGGAAGGGTATTATTTATTATGAGTTGCTGACCAAACTCTAAATTGCCAACAAGAGAGTTGTCCCAAATCGGACATTCCGAAGATGTTAATATCCTATAGTTCATATAAAAATAATGGATTTCTTTTTCCCCAACCTAATATATGGTATAGCCCCCACATAGGGAACTGATCCAATCTTTGCACATTCCGCAGGTTCGTTTCTTTTATTCAAAAGTTGAGTTCTTTTGTTCAAAAGTTAAGTAAATTGATTGATTGAGTGATACATGACTCCTTGGGACAATATCCCAAGCAAAAAACTAAGAGAACTGACGAGGATTTGTGGCGTAATCCGAATCTATAGTCTTCTCTGCCTTTCCCGAAAGTAATCAATGTGGCCATAACCCACTTTAAAAATAAAAATCTTGTTGTTTTTATTTTTAAAACAACAAGAACGGGATCATGCTGGCTTACCTAAAATAAGTAAAATAGTTTGGTTCAAAAGTCGTACAACCTTAATGGACTCTAGAGTTGAACAATCTAGTTAATGGTGCGGATCGATATTTCTCGTTTCTTTTTTCAGAAGGAACTAGTTCCTTAATAAAGTTTATTAGCTCCATGTAGTTCCGACTTCTAGATAGTTCATTTCAAGATCCGTGTTGATTCGTTATTACGTGAACAAAGTAGACAAATTGAATGTAAATGTGGTACAGGGTATTATGTTTTTTTTTTTAATGAAAACGAGGAACGGTTGTATTGACCAAATGAACTGCTGTATATGAAAGATTGAAGTAAATTAACTGTGACAGCGGCTTCATATTTTATTTCGATATCAATATAGTTTCCAAATTGTATCCAATTTGTCCAGCCGTTGCTGTACGATATGTGAGATTACCGTTTAAGTTTCAAATTTGTGGGGTTGTGATATAAAATTTTTGATATTTCAAACTTTGTATGATATCTACCGGTTCACAGAATCTCCCCTGTCATCCAGGGTTTTTGGAGCTCAGAGGACAACTTTCTTCGACTTCGACTGCTATTGCTACTACCAGTGTTAAGGCTGCTATAGTTGTATTGCCCTACTGAAAATTACTCTTTAACTATAAATATTTTTTTTTTAAATATTGAATCGAGTAATGAGAAAATTCATAAATTTATTATATTTTGTATTTTTGTATGGCGTCAACGCAATAACAATTAAAGTTTTTGTAGAACTGTGTAAATATTTTTCGATAGATTTACATTTGTTTAAAGCCTCCGATCTAATTTGATTTTTGCACGTTTTCATAAACATACAATTGGACATACTTTCTTCTGGCATTATTTATGTGGTAGTCACGTGCTCACAACAACCTTCAAATGAGGAATCAAATAGCAAGTTTGATTTTAACAATAATGTAAATAAAACTTGGCGGTAGACTTTATCGACGAAAAGTTCGGTATCCCCATAAAGGAAAGGTTTCCCTTTTGAAGAGAAAATGTTCTTTTAATTTTCTAAAAATATACAAACTTTATCTAACCTTAAACCGCTTAAAATTTTAATAATTTTTTTTTGTCAATAACTTATTTTATTTAACAATTTTTGCAAAATTGCTCACACACTCCACAACGATTGCTATTTTTAGAGCTTGCAAATTAATAAAATCAATAAAAACACAAGCTTAAGACAATTCACTTAGACCGTATACGATATGAATAATTAAATATCAATATTATTTATATATTCGATATGAGATTTTATATACTATGCTAAATTCGATTGTATATACTTACTGTGGTGTTGGTGGATTAACAATATTTAATAATTCGGTGGGCGATTGCGGAACACGTCTGATGACAATTTTACGTCCATCTGTTGAACCAATTCCTATCGATGCCAACGATCGAACTGATGTTACATCTGAATAAATTTGATTGGCAACACTATCACGAAATAAATAGGAACTTGAATCATCTTGTTGCTGTATAAAACTGTTGACAGTCAGATCGTTTGGATCTGAGAGATATGCTGGAAAAATAAATAGATATGAAATATTAAATTAGTAAATTCTATAAAAATCGGAGATGTTTTGCTCTAATAAACTTTAATTCTAAATTACAGTAACTTCGGTTGGACCAAAAAGAAGATGAATCTTTATAGGAGAGTTATGTCAAAACATGTAAATAACATGAGAATTGTCTGTCAGGAATTCTTTTATACTCAGAAAACCGCCCATATGACTTTCATGGAGAGTTCAATACAAAAGAAAAAAAATGTACCTCTCAGTACATTGCTACAAAAGCTATACTAAAAAGAATATATTCTGCTTGAAAATGTGAGTGATTTGGTTGTTTAATCATTGCAAACACCGACCATTAAATACATAATACCGATCGGGACTTTGATATGGGGGTTATGACATGGTGAATTTATGGTAGGAAGAATTGACACCCAATGGAAACCAAACTATAGCCAATAAGGTTAAAAAAGTGCAAAGAATTAGTAAAATGCCGAATAATAAGAGGTCTACCCTATCTTTGTTTCGGGTTTTTAACAAAAAACTTGCAAAATTCCGCAAAATACTGAAATTGGCAAGATCCAAAATTTGAGTTATACCCGCAAAAGTGGACCAATATCGATAATTTTTGATATGAAGATTTGATACCCAATACCGAAATTTTGGATGTATCGTTATATAGGGACTGACCTGAAACTATTGTAGTAAAAATACAGAATATTACGGGGTGCCGTTGTATAGGGTTTATGTGGACCGATATGTTCAGTAACAAACATACTAGGAATTTCAGAAGACGGACATAGGTAAATCCACATAGAATTTTATTCTGATCAAAAATAGATAGGGTGTTGCAAACGGAATGACAAATTTAATATACTTTAATTTAAATAGAAAGAGTTACTGAAGAATTTATTTTAGATGACTAGTGCGAATACGTGATGTAGGTAATTATACAACACCTAACTCATTCCATAATATTTTAACATCGAGATCTACTGTTTATACCCTTCATCACACTGTGGTAAAGGGTATTATGACTTTGTGCATATGTTCGTAACAGGCAAAAAGACTGTGCATAGAATCACAATCACTAGTCGATTTGTGCATGTCCGTCTGCAGATGTTAAATTGTAAACAAAGTACAGGTCGCATTTATGATCCGATTTGAATGAAATTTGGCACAGCTCATTTATTTGGCCCAAGGATGAACCCTATTGAAACTGGGAAAATCGGTTCAGATTTAGATATAGCTACCATATATTTTTTCGCCCGATTTAATGTAAATGGTGTACCAAAGTCCCTATATACCCTTCGATTTGCACGAAATTTGGCATAGTGTAATAAATTAAGTCTATAATGATGTGTGTTAAGTTTCGTGAAAATCGGTTCAAATTTAGATATGCCTACAATATATACAATACAATATATATGTATATATTTTCGTCCGAATTAAATGTAAATGGTGTACCAAAGTCCTTATATATCTTTCGATTTGCACGAAATTTGGCATGGCGTAATGAATTAGGTCTAGACTGATGTGTGTCAAGTTTCCTGAAAATCGGTCCAGATTTAGATATAGCTCCCATATATATTTTCGTCCGATGTTATGTAAATGGTGTACCAAAGTCCCTATATATCTTTCGATTTTCACGAAATATGGTATAGCGTAATGAATTAGGTCTAGAATTTTGTGTGTTAAGTTTCGTGAAAATCGGTTCAGATAGCTCCTATATATTTTTTCTTCCGAGTGTATGTAAATTGTGCACTGAAGACCCAAAGTTTGTCTGATTGACACACAATTTGGTAGAATGAACTGTAGTTAATATATGTTAATCACTGGCAAATCTGATTGAAATCGGTTCAGATTTTGATATAGTTTTTTTACAAGAATATTTTCGTCCGATTTTACATATAATTGACACAAATTTTGCACAACGTACTGAAGTTAGTATAACCTAGAAGTTGGATATAAATGCTTCGTCCAATCGGCACAAAATTTTGCACTACGTACTGAAGTTACTATAACATAACTTGTGGCAAGTTTAGTTGAAATCGGTTTAGATTTAGATATAGCTCCGATTGACACAACATTTTGTACAACGTACTGATCTTAATATAATAATAATAATTAATATAATCTACCGTGTGGAAAGTTTTGAAATCGGGTTCAGATTTGGATAGAGCTCCTATATATATATTTTCTCCCGATTTTAAGTACATAATTCATATAACTTAACCTGTGACAAGTTTCAATGAAATCGGTTTCAATGAAAGTGGTGAAGGGTATCATATAGTCGGCCCCGTCCGACTTTACTACTTTCCTTACTGGGTTTTTTCTTGTAGTTTCGTGAACCGAAACCGTTATATGTGATATTTATATATTTAAAAAACTCACTGATCTAATTATGGCCATAAATGGGATCTCTGGCCAACGACGCGGCAATTATTGTGAGCTCGAAATTATTGTCAGAGGAAAATTTAAACTACGAATTGTTTCTCTGATAAGTGGTTTAAATATTCGATCCAGTTTTGAAAATTTTATTAATTTTATTATTTTATATTATATTTTAAAACAAACTTCAGATCTATGTATTTTGGAATTAAATTAAGTTGAAATAGGTCTTTAAAAATTGCATAAATGATTGCCCTCGCGATTTAATTACCTGCGAAAACAAGTGTAAGCTACTGCTTTTATTTGAAGATACAAAATGAAATCTCGCTCGACTTTAAAAGACCTTAACTGTTCAAAGTGTCAGACAAATGAAACATTTCATTATCAGAAAGAATTTCTTTTGATTGCATCACCTGTGAATTGCTCGCATCGCATCGCGTCCAAGTTCAACCCTCCCCACCTCACTAACATTGATCATTATGAGCATCGTTGTCATCATCATCATCGCCACCACCATCAGCTGAAAGTCAAGCAACGGCTGGATATCATCACAACACTCACACCAAGTGGGAGAGTTAAATAAATTAAATAAACTTATTTGATATTCTTATGGGTTTGTTGCTATTATTTTTCTCCTCCTCGTTGTTGTTGCTGCTGCTGCTTGTTGTGGTTATCATTTGTACATATGAAAATATTAACATTTATTTACACAACAACATCAACAACAACAATAAGAAAATAAATATTGAAAAGGTTATTGCCGACAGAGTCGACCATGTGTGATACCTTACGTTTATGGACTTGGGGGTATGTGATCAACATAGATTCAAATCTCAAAATATTTAACTGACACTCAAGAAAGTGGAGTATATTCTTTATAAGATACATAATGTTTAATTAATCGACTTGGAACGGACTCAGATATATTAATTTTATAGACAGTGAATTGACTATATGTAATATGGCTACAAAACACTTTAAACGCATTTAAAGAGTTAATCACGCCTACGGGCTTAAAAATTACAAAATAGCGCTGTGTTAAGCTTTCGCTTTACTTGCCACGTGTTTTATCTATCGAACTAAACGAAAAATATGGGAAAATCTCGTTACATATGGTGTATGGTCCTATACCTTCTATTTTAATAGAAAGTGGACTAGCTGGAAGAGGACCTGCCTCCAGTATTTAAAGAAAAAACCAGTAAGGAAAGTAGAAGTCGGGCTGGGCCGACAGTATAATACCCTTCACCACTTTGGTTATATTCTACATATGTATCCGAAAAGACGTCGCCTTTTTGAAGGAATTTTGACATGAAATTGGACGAGCTTAAATATGTGATTTTTATGTCTTTCTGGAACCTATGCTACATTTCATTTCAATTCATTTGGGCAAGTTTACTGTCGTTTGCCCACAGGGGGACAGATTTGTGTAAATCGATTTAAAGCAAACTTGATACACGTTATTCGGTATGCTGCAATGTTTAAAATTTAATCTCAATCCGACACTTATTGATTATTTGGTGTACAATTAACTAAAATAAGTCGAAATTATATATGGAAGCTACGATATATCTATATCTGAACAGATTTGAAGAAATCTTGCCATAGATTAATCTATATTAATTTCAGTACGTTGTATCAATCGGCCTAGCTGTGGATTTTTACAGCACAATTAACATAAAATCGGACGAAAATATATATAGGAGGTGTACACATCATTCTAGACTTAATTCAATACGCTATGCCACAATTCGTGCAAATCAAATGATTTTCAGGGGCTTTGGTGCACCATTTACCTAAAATCGGGCGAAACTATATATGAAAGCTATATTTAAAGCTGAACCGATTTTCACGAAACTTAGCACATATAATTCTAGACCTAATTCAGTAGGCTATACCAAATTTCGTGCAAATCGAAAGATATATAAGGACTTTTGTACTCCATTTACATAAAATCGGACGAAACTATCTATGGGAGCTATATCTAAATCTTAACCGATTTTAACGAAACTTAGCACACGTCATTCTAGACCTAATTCAGTAGGATATACCAAATTTCGTTCAAATCGAAAGATATATAGGGACTTTGGTGCACCATTTACCTAAAATCGGGGAAACTATATATGGGAGCTATATCTAAAGCTGAACCGATTTTCACGAAACTTAGCACACATCAATCTAGACCTAATTCAGTAGGCTATACCAAATTTCGTGCAAATCGAAATATATATAGGGACTTTGGTACCACATTTACATTAAATCGGACGAAACTATATATGGTAGCTATACCTAAATCTGAACCGATTTTCTCCAATTTCAATACGGTTCGTCCTTGGGCCAAATATGTGACATGTGCCAAATTTCATCCAAATCGGATCATAAATGCAACCTGTACTTTGTTCACAAAAATACATGGACGGACATGCATAAATCGACTCAGAACGTGATTTGTTACAAACATATGCACAAAGACATAATACCCTGTACCACAGTGTGGTGAAGGGTATAAAAAATATGGTCCTCGCCCTCCAAGAACCCGTAAAACCGAAATTTCTATATTAAACCTTCAACATACCGTTATACATTCAATTGGGCGGGAGCTTAAGTGTGGACTGGAAATCATAGATATGCATTGGAAGTTATTCTCCTACCAAGGCTGTTACAAAATACGCCTTAGACCATTAAAGTACATAAAATGGGGCGAAAATGTTGTCCACACTCCAAAAACCCTGGCATTCATTTATGTTTCAGCTTGACAATTTCCACCAAACATACACCAAAACATGTCAATGATTGGTTGCGGGAGTCAAAAATTAGGAGTTTATAATGGCCAGCCAACACCCAAGGGTAAAATTGAGCATTTTATTGATTCAATAATAATAATAATTATGCTGTCGATTTCTAATTTGTTTAATTATAAGAAAAAAAGTTGCTTTAGTTTTGACCAAGCAAAGATTATGTCAGTTTAGATTTGCATAGAATATTATTTTTATTTCAAAACCAGTAACAATCATGCTGCAGAACAGTGCAGTATCCAAATTGTATCTCGACACAAAATCCAATACACGTTATTCACTGTTCCATTTGGTACGTTGTGTACAAATTAGTCCTAATCGACAAAAAACTTTTGTTATTTGGTGAACATTTAGATGAAATCGGATGAAAATATATATGGAAGCTATATCTAAACTTGAAACGACTTCAATCCAATACGATATTTCATGTAAAGCTAACCATTTGCACTATTTGCATAAAATCGAACAAAAATATATGTGGGAGCTATATCTAAATCTGAACCGAGTTCAACAAAAAATATCGTGAAAATAGAACAGGGTAAATCGTGCAACATTTACATTACATGGGACTAATGTATATATGTGAGCTCTATTAAAATGTGAACCTATTTCAACAAAACTTAATGGATGTCAACCTGTAGTAACATCAATACGCTGTGCGATATTTTGTCTCAATCGGACAAACATTGGCAGTATGGTGCTACATTTACATAAAATGGGACGAAACTATATATGGGAGCTATATCTAAATCTCAACCGATTCCAACAAAACTTTGCATACATCAATCAGTCAAATCAGTCAATCTGTCAAATATTGGCAGCATGGTGATCCATTTACATAAAATCGGACCAAAGTATATATGTGACCTATATCTAAATTTTGTGCCTATCGGCTTAAATTAGACTCTTTGGTGCACCATTTGCTAAAAATCGGACGAAAATATATATGGGAACTATATCTAAATCTAAACCGATTCCAACAAAACTTCGAGTACATCAATCAGGACCTATTCAATTCTCTGTGCAAAATTTTGTCTCAATCGGGTAAATATTGGCAGTATGCTGCTCCATTTACATAAAATTGGACGATACCATATATATCCGCTATATCTAAACCTGAACCTATTTCAACAAAACTTCGCATACATGAATCTGGACTTAATTCAATACACTGTTCAATTTTGTCTCAATCGGACTAATATTGGGTGTTTGGTGCACCATTTACATAAAATCGGACGAAATTATATATGGGAGTTATATCTAAATCGGAACCGATTTTCTCTACTTTCAATAGGGTTCGTCCTTGGGCCAAATAAAGGAGCTGTGCCAAATTTCATCCGATTCGGATCATAAATGCGACCTGTACTTTGCTCACAAAAATACATGGACGGACGGACATGCATAAATCGATTCAGAAAGTGATTCTATGCATATTCTGAAAAGGAACCATGTGCCTATCTCGTTTCCTTTTGCCTGTTACAAACATATGCACAAATATAGTGTGGTGAAGGGTTTTTTAAGGAATATTTTTTTTAAGGAATATTAACAAATTGGTAATATTGTCCATATACTTTATAGGGTCGGGAATGATTATTTCGATGAGTTACAAACGGAAAAACAAACCTAACATACCCTCCATACTATAGTGGGGAGTATACAAATACGAAAATGATGCGGGATCAATATCAAAACAACTGAAATGTCAAAATTTGACATTTTGACCTGAGCTCAGATTATAGCTATGTATGTTAGAAAATGTGCGTAAGTTTATTAAAATTCCTTAAATTGCCGGACTTCTGCAACGTTGTTTTTTTAGCTTCTGAAAATTTGAAATCTCAACTTATAATCACCTAAAAAAACTATTATGAAAATGGTCACATTAATCAAGATATCTTCGTAAAAGACTGGTGAAAATAAATACAGTAAAATTATGGGTTGTATATAAATCCGCACCGATTGACATATATTTCATAAAGTAGGTATTTGGTTCGAAACATCAACAACATTCGTTCAAATTAAATAATTGGATGAATATGATTCAAAGTGGATCATCATTCACAGATCAATTTAGTTCCACACAATGCCCAAAACAAATACAGAGCACATAAGACTATAGGGTACTCGATAAAAAATAATAACAAAGAAAAACTCACCTGATACCACAGAACGCATACTGCTATTACGATCGTTACGCGGACGCAAACCAATTCCCAAAGTGGAGGGCGGTGTGGATAATGATGATGAAGCAGCAGCGGTCGCACCAGTTAACGACGGCGGAATACTATTAAATATAGCCGAGGCAGGTCTCACAGCATGTGAAGATGGACTACTGGACTTAAGCTGTGATGGGAATGGTGGCGGTGACAGTGACACTGATTGTTGCTGGTGTCGTTGTTGCTGTGGTGTGGGGTTTGTCACCGTTGTTGCCGTCACACTGCCAGTGCTCGTTAATGGCTGTGTTGAGTTGATGCCCGAGTAAATTGAACTGATTGCAGGCATTTGGTATGAATATAATGCATCTAATGTAGATGATGAGGCAACGGATTTGGCTGCTGCTGCCGCCGCCGCTGCAGATGTTGTTCCCGTGCCTGTGTTTGTTGTTGTTGTTGCTGTTTCGCTGACGGCATTATCCGAGTCATAGTCTTCAATTGTAAATTTTACACTTGGGTTGACACTGGCTGATGGATGGTGGCTGCCGTCGCCGCCACTAGTACTACTGGCCCCAGTAGTAGTCGTAGTACTGGCAGTTCCACGAGTATTTACCTCGGTTGTTGTCTGCGTCGCATGATAACTAACATCCGACCGAGGCATTGACGGTGATACTGAGCCCCTGTTCGTTAATAGGGGATGCTGTGTGGCACGGGCAGCCAATGTTTGTGTGGGGGTTGGTGGTGCGGCCAAACTTAAATTCGTCGGAGAACGCAATGGTAATTTTTGTAAAGCTGTCAGCGACGATGTCGATGTGGTGGAGGGGAATTTTGGTTGTTGACCCAGGGCGGGTGATGTGGCTGGTATTATGATGAATTTATGTGAACGTACCGAGGGTGTACGAATGAGGCGTGTTTGATCGTCGACATCGGATCCCTCCGCGCCACTATCGTATAGCCAGCTGTGGCGAAAATTTACCGAGCCCTGTTTGCCAATGCTGGCCAGTGGGGTCGGTGGTGAACTGGCTAAGTTCATAGTTAGGCTGGTCGGTGAGGAGACCGTTTTTGATAGGGTTGCAGATGGCGATGGTGTTGTGGCAGCATTGCTGTTGTTGGTGGGTTGTTCGCTAGGATTTGTTGCCATGTTGGTTGGTATTTTGTTAAAGTTTTTTTTTTTGGGTTTAAATAAATCGTTTCGTTTAGAATATTTGATTGTTCATTTTGTATCTGAAAGTAAAAAAGATATAAGCTCAAAATTCCGACCACTCTTCTGTAAAACCGTGTACAAAATTTATTGAATCGAAAAACAAGATATCCATTAATTGTTTAGCATTTCAACATTTTTATTTGTTTGTAGATCACTTTCTTCTAATCATCACTAGTTTTGAGTCGAATCGAAAGAAGCAGCGCACACATAAGTTGTTAATTACATTTTAAATTGTTCTAGTTTTTGGTTTTCGTGTTTGGGTTTTGTTATTTTTTTCATATTTCGTTGACATGTCTATATTTTATTTTTGAATGAATGTATGACACATTCATCCGTTTCGCGTTTTTCTTGCATCGCTGTATATCATGTCTGGCGACTATCTTGACCTTTTCCATTTTTTGTCATTTAAATTAAATTTTGTGTCTTCTTCATCGTCGCTATTCATTAATTGATCGCATTAATTTGACTATGAATATTAGTTAATATATTTTTACATATGAATGCACTTGAAAAGCTATCCAATAAAATTGTTTATGGAAATTTTCTAAACGAATTATTTAATTAATTTTGTAAAATACATGGGTTTTGAACTATGTAAAATATAATTCAGTTTTAAATTTAAATTTATTGCAATTCTAAAAAGGGGATTTAATAAGCAATATTTTATGTATGGAATTTACTCACCAACATTTTTAAATAACGTCCTTATCAAATGATTATGAAAGATTATATAGCTAACATTGAGTCTAAAATTTGCATTCAGTCGATCTAGCCATGTGTGTCCGTCCGTCTATCCATTATAATTGGTAAACACGATACAGGCCACAGTTATGGATTAACCTTCACGAAATTTTGCATGTAGGCCCCGTTCTGGCCAAATAAGACCCCCAAACACTCTATTACTGTCGGTTTCTCTGCTCTCTCGAAATGTTGCATAGAATAAACATGGATGTTTTGGTGAAGATCGGCCAATATTGAGCGGATCAAATGGACCTAAACTTTAATGTGAGAAATCATAAATTGTTTATTCTATGGCTTATTGTATTCTGATGGACATATATCCCAGAAGTTGATATCCAAGAGGAGTGGTTGACCTATAAATTGATTTCAATTATATTGTTGTATGTACTCGGATGTGAGAGTTATACGTAAATATTTAAGGGGAACTACGTCTTCTGATATTGTTTAGTACTACCATTACCACACTAGAGGGCTGAAATGAAGCGCTGATGGCCAGCAAATTTAGCATGGGGTTCCTGCTATGGTCAAGAACGACTCCTGATGATATATCGTGGATGGAATGGAACGAAAACGTTATGTTTGTCTGGTAATCTAGTCGCTCTGGGCGTCACAATTATAAGCCGAACATCACAAAATATCAATGAAGAAGAAGATTGGGCCCAGTATAATGCTCCACTCACTGCTTTCTTCTTCTTCTTGACAAAAATACTAATTTAATGACAAACCAGTAAGGAAAGTAGTATAGTCGGACGGGGCCGATTATATGATACCCTTCACCACTATGGGTATATTAAACAGGACTATTAACATGAAATTGGATGAAATAAAATATGGGATATTTATCTAACTGTGAATCGACTTCAAACAAATATGAATAGGTCATCCGTTGGGGTATGTCAGTACTTCTAGAAGTTATATCCAAATATGAACCGATTACAACGAAACTTGTCACAGGTTAGGTTATACTAATTTCAGTACGTTTTGTTCCTATCAGCCATATATTAGATCCTTGGTGCGTCAATTACTTGAAATCAATCTATAATATAAGAGAGTTATATCTAAATCTCAACCGATTTTCACGAAACTTGGCACACATCAGTCTGGACTAAATTCAGTACGCTATGCCAAATCGAAGAATATATAGGGACTTTGGTGCACCACTTACATGAAATCGGACGAAACTATATATGGGAGCTATATCTGAATCTTGACCGATTATCACGAAACTTGGCATACATCATTGTGGGCTCAATTCAGTACGTTATGCCAAATTTGGTGGAAATCGAAAGATATATAGGGACTATGGTACACCATTAACATTAAATCGGACGAAAATATATATGGGAGCTATATGTAAATCTTGAACGATATTCACGAAACATGACAAACATCACTCTACGCTCAATTCAGTACGTTATGCCAAATTTCGTGCAAATCGAAAGATATATAGGGACTTTGGTGCACCATTTACATGAAATAGGACGACACTATATGGAAGCTATATCTAAGCCTGGACCGATTTTAACTTAACTTGGCAGATATCATTCTAGGCTCAATTAAGTACGTTATGCCAAATTTTGTGCAAATCGACAGATATATAGGGTCTTTAGTGCACCATTTACCTTAAATCGGACGAAACTATATATGGGTGCTATATCTAAATCTGAACCGATTTTCACGAAACTTGGCAGACATCACTCTACGCTCAATTCAGTACGTTATACCAAATTTCGTACAAGTCGAAAGATATTTAAGAACTTTGGACGAAAATATATATGGGAGCTATTCTAAATCTGAACCGATTTTCAAGAAACTTGTTACACATCATTCTAGGCCTAATTCAGTACGCTGTGCAAAATTTCGTGTAAATCGAAAGTTATTTAGGGACTTTGGTGCACCATTTACCTTAAATCGGACGAAAATATATATGGGAGCTATATCTAAATCTGAACCGATTTTTCCAAATTTCAATAGGGTTCGTCATTGGGTCAAATGAATGAGCTGTGCCAAATTTCATCTAATTCGAATAATAAATGCGACCTGTTATTTGTTTACAATTTAACATGGACAGACAGACGGACGGACGGACATGCGTAAATCGACTTAGAAAGTGATTCTATGCTAATTCTTAAAAGGAACCATGGGTCTATCACGATTCCTTTTGTCTGTTACAAACATATGCACAAAGACATAATACCCTGTACCACAGTGTGGTGAAGGGTATAACCAGTAAGGAAAGTTCAAATGTTGGGCGGGGCCGACTATATAATACCCTTCAACACTTGGGGTACCCTGTAGATGGAATATGTACCATTTGGTATGCTGCAGCACAGTGGGCTGTCCATAATTTTATTTCGGGTATATGGAACAGACGTAGGCTACACGGAGAACAATACTGTTTGTCGGGGCAGGTCAAGTTCAATAATGGGCTACATCGGTTCAGGCTTAGGCATAGCCCTTGAGAAATTTTTAAACGGAATTAGATGTAATTTAGTATTTTGGTTTCGTATAAGGAATCAAATCTCCCTACCGAAAATGATCAATATCGGTTTCACCACAATGTGGGACAGGGTATTATATCTTTGTGCATATGTTTGTAACAGGCAAAATGAAACGAGATAGGCACATGTTTCCTTTTGAGGTCGCATTTATGATTCGAATCGGATGAAGTTTGACACAGCTCATTTATTTGGCCCAAGGTCGCATTGAAATTGAGAAATATCGGTTCAGATTTAGATATAGCTCCCATGCATATTTTCGTCCGATTTAATGTAAATGGGGTACCAAAGTCCCTGCATATCTTTCGATTTCCACGAAATCTGGCATAGTATATTGAATTGAGTCTAGAATTATGTGTGATAAGTTTTGTGAAAGTCGGTTCAGATTTAGATGTAGCTTCTATATATATATTTTTTTTTTTTGATCCGATTTAATATAAATGGTGTACCAAAGTCCTTATATATATATATATATATATATGGGAAATTAAAAAATTCTTTTGTTTGATTTAGTGCAGTAACTTAACTTCCATATATATTTCGAACGGGTGTCTGATTAATATTACGTTTTAAACAGAGCGGCATATCAAATAGCGTGTATCAAGTGTGCTGTAAATCGATTTCCATACATTTGTCCCATTGCACGCAAACGACTCTAAATCTGATCGAATGAAATTAAATCTATATATATAAAAATTGAGAGAGAAAAATGTATACTAACGCATCAATTGAGAACGGCTGGACCGATTTGACTCAAAATTTCTTTCCATTGTCGGTAATTACAGTGGGAAGGTTTTTATGAAAGAAAATATTGAGAAAAATCCGCGAAAATCTTGCAAAAATTATTTCAAAGAAACGACTGGTCCGATTTGAATTAAAGTTACTGTTAGTAGTCTGTAATTGAAGTGGAAAGGTTTTAATGAAAGAACATTTTGAGAAAAATCCGCGAAAATATATTTTGAAAGATATTAGAATTTCAACACATTTTATATCGAACCTTTATGGTTTCATCTCTTCGTAGTTCTTTTTGGACATATTTGGGCGAAAATGGGCAGCGTATTTTTTTAAGTAATTGTTAATTATGAAAAATTCTAAAAATATGTTAATTTTCTACAAGTAATTAGATTGTCATTGCCTTGAAAAAACTATCTATGTAAGTATAAAATAGAAAACAAATTGTTTGTTTGTATGTTACCGATAGACTCAAAAACCGCTGAACGGATGTTAATGAGTATGTCATGACGTGTCCTGAAAGTTACATAGGCTATATAAACTTCTAAAAATCCGCGTGGATGCAGAGTTATATCATCAATAGTGAACATACCTCAAAATTTCTGTACATGTAATATGCGTATATCTTTAGAACGGTAATAGATACATCCATACATAAATGAGTGTGGTACGATTGGGAAAAATGCACTCACTGTTGCACTTAAATAATTTACATACAGCGAAAATAACATTTTTTGTTTGATTAGTCAAAAACCGCTCAACAGATTTTACTGAGAATTTTCGCAGTCAGTCATGCCATCCCATGAAAGTAAGATATGCAAAATAAACTTTCAAAATTCCGCGATGACGAAGAGTTATAGCATCAACCGTAATCATACCTTCGAACTAATATTAATTTTCTAAGCACATATCTGAATATCTTGAATAAATCTGTTCATAAAAGCATGTGTGAATCTTAATTGACAAGGAAGTAAAATTGGTCAAATTCAGAAATTTTCGACTCATAATTTTTTGTCCTATTATCAGTAATTATAATAGCCATCAGTTCAGTAATTCCGCTAAAGTCTACTGCTTTCCATCTCTCCATTGTCATACACATTGGAATAAAATTTGTGTAAAATGAAAAATTGTTGACATTATATTTTTTATATTTTGAAAAAAAATTCAGTTTTTGAACTTTTTTTAATTTGGTTTCCTAACAATACCAAGGTATGTACAGTTAAGAACATTCCACAACCATGAGTTAAGAAGAAGACTAAATCTAAGTTCGTTACAAATATTACAATGTGGAGGGATCCTAGCCATATAATGTTAAATCAGATAAGAATACAGACATAAAGCTAGGTGATAACGGGAATGAAGGATTTTTTGGTCTTTGAACGATTAATACACATGTGAATATTGTAGAAAATATATTAGAGTATAATCCTATTGAGACAAGTCAAACTGTTTCAAATAACGTATACATTAACCAGCTACTACGGTATTTGTACTGATACGAACAGTAATTGGGACTACATAATGCCTATATCAATCCTATCCATAAAAGTGTTGGAATGAAGTGTTGGATTTGATGCAAAATGTTTGTTTGTTGATTTCGATTTCGTCCAATTCCGGGTATGCTGGCTCGCTGGTACCTTTCAATTTGAATTAAGCTATATAAAGCGAACTATGTTTACAGAACCTACATTACCAAGACGAGGTCTATCGGTCCACACCATCTTCTACCTCTCTCACAACAGGTCCAAACTTTAAAAATTTACGGAGAACCAAACAACACAACATCATGTTCAAAGATGGACTACTTCGGGTTATAAATCTTTCGGTTTATAATAAAAGAGACTTGTCTTACTGATTTTAACCTATTTAAAGAATCAGAATCGATTATATTGAGAACATTTTCAAATATTCACGATAAACCTTACTTATTAAACAGATACCTAATGAATGCGATAATATTTCTTTACGATTCAGAAGCATTTTGTTATGCATTTAAATAAATGAGGTTTAACATCTGTGACAGAATATACGATGAGCTACCATTTCGTAAAATTGCATTCGCACGCTGACATATTAGTGAAATATTTATTACTATGCACTTTTAGAATATATTTGTACCCGCTTGCACAATGGATCTAATAAAGAACTAAGTATATACTAATTACCAAATAACCACAACGAAAATGGAAATTCAAATTCTTTGAGAATGTTTTATTTTTAAAAATTAACAAAAAATAGTTTTATGACCCTTCGATTTATAAATTAAAGCAATGTTGTGCAAACCTAAATTTAAAGTTAGTTTGGTGAGAATTCATCACCAAAAATGACACAGGAAAAGAGAACAAATGAGAATGCGTTTGTACCTTTTACGCTAACGTATGATTTTGGGAAGTTTTGAGCATCACTGAATTAAAGTCCGAGTCGAGATTCTTAAGTATATTCGAAAATAATCAACTATACTCTGTTTTAATGAATGAACAGAAATTAGTCACATGCTGCACATTGCCACTTTTTGAATAATCAGCGGTTTTTTGTATTGTTAATTTGTTTCTTATAGCTTTTTGTATTTTTTGTTGTTGCTGTAATTTGATTAGGTTTCATTTGAAGTAAATGAGTTCTTGTTTTACAGCCAGCATTTTATTTACGTCACATAGGAAGTAATAGTATTCGTTATTTTTTTGAATAATGTTTCCTTAGCGGCATAAAGTTGTGAAGGTGTTCGTTTTTTTTTTGTAGCAACAGGTGGGGTGCTGTAATGCTGAGCTATGAGAAATTAGAGAAATTGTTTTCGAAACAACTTTTGAAAATATGCATATATGTTTGTTGATATTTCTATATGGTGCTAATAGTTTAAAGAATTTTTCCTCAGGTTATATTTGAATTGTATGGAATTTATGGGAATTGTACTTACATCTAGCTGTTATAATATATAGACAGACGGGCTGGTCTATAAGAAACTTAGTGTAATGTATACATATATTATTGATCAGAATAAAATACTATGCCGAGGTCCGTATGTCGGCCGGGCCAAACTTTGGATACCCTCCACCATAGGTACACTGGCAGTTACCTGACTTGCAAGTTCCAACACCACTCCGATGTAATAAACCTGTAAGGAAAGTAGTAAAGTCGGTCTGCCCGACTATATGATACCCTTCACTACTTTGGGTATATTCTACATATGTATCCTAAAAGACGTCGCATATTCGAAGGAACGTTGACATGAAATTGAACGAAATTAAATATGTGATCTTTATCTATATCTAAACCGACTAACATCAATCCCTACACATGTCATTCTGCTACCTATGCTACATTTTGTAAATCGATTTAACGCAAACTTGACACACGCTATTCGGTATGCTGCACTGTTAAAAATTTAATCTCATTGATTATTTGGTGTACAATATACATGAATAAGTCGAAATTGTATATGGAAGCTATGCTATATCTATATCTGAACCGATTTCAAGGAAACTTGCCAGAGATTAATTTCTATTAATTTCAGTACTTTGTGTCAATCGGCCTAGCTACGGGTCTTTAGTGCACCATTTACTTAAAATCGGACGAAAATATATATAGGAGGTGTTTGTAAATCTGATCCGATTTTCAAGAAACTTTGCATACATCATTCTAGACGTAATTCAGTTGGCTATACCTAAATCGAAAGATATAGAGGCTTTGGTGCAGAATTTACATAAAATGGGACGAAAATATATATGGGAGCTATATCTAAATCTGAACCGATTTTCAGGAAACTTTGCACACATTATTCTAGACTTAATTTAGTACGCAATGCCAAAATTCGTGCAAATCAAAATATTTGCAGGGACTTTGCCCCACCATTTACCTAAAATCGGGTGAAACAATATACAATATAAATTCGTGCAAATCTAAAAATTTTCAGGGACTTTGGTACACCATTTACTTAAGATCGGACGAAACTATATATGGGAGCTATATCTAAATCTGAACCGATTTTCACGAAATATAACACACATCATTCTAGACTTTATTCAGTACGCTATGCCAAATTTTGTGCAAATCTAATGATTTTTAGGGACTTTGGTGCACCATTTACCTAAAATCGGGCGAAACTATATATGGGAGCTATATGTAAATCTGAACCGATTTTCCCGAAATTTAGCACGCATAACTGTCAACTTAATTCAGTACGCTACGCCAAAATTCGTGCAAATCTAATCATTTTCAGGGACTTTGGTGCACCATTTACTTAAAATCGGACGAAAATATCTAAATCTGAACCGATTGTCGTCATTGGGTTGTCCTTGGGCCAAACCAATGGGCTGTGCCAATTTCTGCGGATGGTTATTCCGAGCCTGGACAATATTTCGTGATATTTGCACCCTCTTGCCCGATTAGAGGTAAACAGCACCTCTCCCTAATGGGTTACTAAATAATATACAAATACGGAGATTCCTGTAAATATTTAGGTGTAACTCCCACATCCGAGCACATACAACAATATAACTGATATTAATTTAAAGGTCAACCACTCCTCTTGGATATAATATCAACTTCTCAGATCTATGTCCTTCAGGGGTAAATATATACGCTATAGAATACAAATTTTGTCATTTTTCACACAAAAGTCAGGGTCCATTTGACCTGCTAAATATTGACCGATCTTTATCAAAACAGACATGCTTATTCTTTGGCCCGATTCCCTTCTCCATGCAAAATTTCACGATGTTCGGGCCATTATTGCGGTCTCTGGAGCGACCCGAAAAACCGACAAAAATTTAGTATTTGGTCCATTTCATCCCCTAAATATTAACCGATCTTTCCCAAAAACAATAGGGGTCTTCATTGGCCAGAACCCATCCTACATGCAAAATGGACAGACGGACGGACACACATGTCTAGATCGACTCAGCTAGTCCAGATATGACGATCGGTATACTTAAAGGTGGGTCTAGGACCAATATTTCGCGGCGTTACAAACTTTTGGGGCTGCACAAAGCTATAATACCCTGACAACATAGTTGTGTAGGGTATAATTAAGTTTCGGCCCACTTCATCCCAAAATTATTATCTGATCATCACCGAAAATTACAAGCGCTGTACTTGGCCATAACTGGAACCTCATGGAACATTTTAAAGCGATCTGCGCTATATTTCCGCCCTCCAGTGTGGTAATGGGTATAATTAATGAACCTGTAGGGTATAATTAATGAACCTATGAAAACAATGTTTTCCAGTGAAACACACATAGTTGAGATCAGAAATCCTTAATTAGATACATTTTTTAAGGCAAATTTTCTAACGTTTACAACATATTGTATTTACATTTATTTGCAATAATGTTTCACACCCAACAAGTAACTAACGGATGAAATTATAATATACCAAAATGTGGACCTATAAAGAAGACTTTTCTAAACAAATGTTGTAAATATGAGGATGATTGACAGCCAATGAGAACACAAAATACCAAATTACAACCATTTCGGATGAAAACGTGTACTTTCTCCGCCAAGTGATTCGGAATTAATAGAACGGTGTCTGTAAAACGTTGTAGACTTTAAAATCAAAAATGGCAGTTTGTGTTGGTATTATTGGCAAGGATAATTCGCCCTTGTACTTGTCTACGACGGATATGGACAAGGAGTTGGAATTGCAGTATCGCGTCCACGCTTCGTTAGATGTCGTAGAAGAGAAGTGCCAAGCCGGTGTTAAAGGAACACCAGAAACTAAAGAATTATATTTGGGTCAATTATATGCAACTGAAACTCATAAAATATATGGTTTTGTGACAAATACAAAAATCAAATTCATTCTGGTGATTGACTCTGGTAACATAGCTCTTCGTGAAAATGAAGTTCGAGCGATGTTCCGAAATCTTCATATACTATATACGGATGTCTGTAACCCTTTCTTCTTACCTGGAGAACACTTAGACTCGAAGAAATTTGATCGCGCTGTACATAAGCTTATGAGCGGAAACATTTAAATAAAATCAGCCGTGAAAATGAACTATTAAATTGATTTTATTGTAATACTTTTCAGAATTGAATTCACTTTTAAAATAAATAACGGTCGTATGAACTAGGCCATTCCATTACAAAAATGTAATCTGGGAAACTGTCAATAAAAAATTCTCAAAATACCGATGGCTCGTGAGCTGAACATATCGCAATATTCCATTTGGCAAATATTGAAAAATGAGCTCGCGGCAAAGCCATTGAAATTCCAAAAAGTGCAAGAACTTACATCGCAACAGAAAGAAAATAGAATCAAAAGAGGTAAAGAGTTGCTTCGCTTGGCCGAAAGCCGATGGTCGCTCTCCACTCGTATTAATCGACCGTGGTATCAGAATAAATGCCGAATATTATCGCGAATATATTCTGGAGGGTGTATTTGAGCCTTGGGCACGCAAACATTTTGGCCGCGCCACCCAAGAATGGTTACAAAATGAGGTTCCTCGCTTCATTTCCAGCGCACAATGGCCACCAAAATCTCCGGATACCAATCCGTTGGACTAGTGTGTCTGGAGTATTTTGGAAAGTAAAGTTGGCACTACAAATACCAAAGTGTCGATCACCTCAAGCAAGCGCTTCGAACACATCTAAACTTAGTTGTGGCGTTTGACTTTGTTGCAGTTTTTTTTATCTCACCCTGTAAACAAAGGATCAAAAATTCAATTCTTTGTATGATTATACAATGTCAAATGTTACAGATGCGAAAATGCAACAGTGATAAAAAAATGGGTTAATAATTTTTCATATGTGCATATGTGTTATTCAATGAGAACCCAAAATACCAAATTACAGACAATTCGATGAAAACCCGTGTCCAAAATCCTGGAGATCTGCAGATTTCATAGCAAATGCTAAATTGCAGTCAAACTCCTCTTAATGAGGGGACTACCCGAAAAAGTAGACAGATATTGATATTTTTTGTGAAAATATTTGGTACCCAATAAGAAAACAATGCACTAAATTTAGTCGAAAACCCCGGATTTGTTCGAAGAACTTTTCAAAATACCGATAATTTGGCGGGCGTACCATTATATTTGGGTTATGCCTAAACGTGGTCCAATCTTCGAACATAACCTGCATGCAGACAAAATTTTAGCAATCTATTTCAATTCGTTTAAAGGCTTGAGTGATTACCGCAGACATGTGTAAATCGTCAAAGAATTTTACGCTGATTAAGAATAGATACATTATAGGGTCGGAAATTATTATTTCGATGAGTTACAAACGGAAAAACAAACGTAATACTGTGGTGGAGGGTATGACAATTATACATTCAATAGAAATTGTTATACCAGAGAGTAAACCAAAGTAGCACACACAAGTCAGGATATTTTTAGTGTACACGTTTTCAAATATATATTCCGTGTCGCTTAAGGACGATATCATAAGGTTCATAACCACCCCATAGAACCCACGGTAAGCTAACCCAGCCATAGAAGTTGCGTTGCAAATTTTCAGCTTTCTAACTATCATATCCGAGTTTTGCGTCGGGTATTTAAATCTCCAATCGACCAATTAGGGTTCTTGTTGCAAGGTTGTTGTTGTCTTCAGAACCCGCCTGAGTTGGGGGATTTTGGATTTGTCAGACAATCTGGAGACAATTTTTTCGTCTATTGTTCCATTTTCTAATTATTTATGTACATTCATATATCAAATTTCTCATTTTTAAATTTGTTTATCTTTGCCCAAGGGAAGCTATGATCAATTTTTTTAATTTAAACATACATTGTGAGGACAGAAAAAACCAAATCGTACTTAGTGTCCTTCAAAAAATAATTAGATATCTTATTCCACATTTAAGTTACGGCGATTTAAGTACGATCTATTTTACGGGTATTTAAATACCCATCAGGCATGAATGGGTTAATGATCCAACAAAATATATGTGGCTCAGTTTATTCGTTTCCGGCTGCAGTGTGCACCTCAAACTGTTGTAGTATCTCAATACATCTAAGTACTTAATGTCAAATAAAAATCTTTGCAAACGATTTCCAAAATAAGGTGGAGTGTATATGACATTTGTCATTCTGTCTCAAAATATTCGACGGAGACCACATATAGTAAAATTCTATGTCGATTTAGCCTGTCCATTAATCTGTAGAAATCACCGATAGATATCGTAGTTTTTAAGATAGAGCTGAAAATTTGCACATATATTGATACTACTAATAGGATGTTTGAATTGAAAATGGGATATATCGGTCAATGTTTTTAGACCGAATATAACGGTGATTTTTTTTTCGTTTTAGTCGCATTTCCAACCGAAAGGGCTGTATTTGGCATCACAGATCCATGGAGGACGAACAAATAATTTTTTTTCGCAAAAAAGGAATTTCGTTTGTAACATATTGAGTCGAGGTAAAATTCTGAGACAACTTTCGCCCTTTTCTTGAATTGCACTGTAGTTTTAGTTCTACCTTTTGATTGTTTCTATTCAGAGTTTCTACCGATTTAATATATTTTATAAGAATAACCTATTTCCTTATATTTCGTAATGACTTCCTTAATTCAATAGTGCTGATTATTAGTATATCATATAAATTTTTCTTAAAATAGACCCTCTCTATATTTCGTCAAAAGAGAGCATTTTTTTTTAGAAAAACAAAACACGTATATTTTATAGAAATAATTTTGATGAATTATTGTAGTGTTAAATCGTTTTCTATTCACTTCACTTTACAATCAATGTAACATAAGTATTCCTCTGTCCACTTTCATTTATGTTTCAATCATTTTGTTGCCGAACATTAAATAATTTATGCATTTATTTTAGCTCATCACAAAACTTTGTTTAATATATTATCCTTATTATTTTTTGCCAGGACTTTTATTTATTTATTTGTATAAATATTTTTTTCAAATCCCCACAACACTTTTGTTTATTATTTGTTTTAATTATTTTTTATTTCGTATCACTTTATTACCGATGCCGTTGATATTTTTACGAAACGTGTTGTTGCACGCGCTGTCAAATGTCAACTGATCTCCAATAATACGATATGAAAATATCGTTTACACAAAATTTGTTATTATTTGTTGCTGCTGCTTTGCGTTTTTTGTTGCTATTGTTGTTTTCATTCTCGTTCTCGTTGAAAATGCGCCTAGATAAAAAAGCAACAATCATAATTCACTGTCGTGTAGATACTTTTATTTGCTTTCTCGCGATTGTCATTGTAACTGCTCGGCTACTCAACTACTCGTACTAAAACATTCTGCATATCTCGTGAGTTCTGACGAGATAATACAGTGAATCGGTGAGTGTACAAAATTACATTGCTATTAAGGGCGAATATTGCAATACATTAAAAAGTCAATAACTTCGCTTTGTAATTTCAGGTTTATTTTTCCATTTTGATTTTGGAAATGAAAATTCCATATGAGAATGAAAGCTCATGGCTGAAGGAAATTTTGGCAACAGGTCAAGTTTTCGAGTTATGTCCTGATGCATATTTTGTTTTTTAACTCTAATGTTCATGAAGAAAATAAGAACGAAATTGGCGAACAAGGATTTGAGATAGAACGGGGATTTGTTTTGCAAAAAATGTTATCTCAAAAATAACCTCTACTAGCCTACTGGTTTTGCTTTATTCCAGTACCGAAATTCCAGTATTTTGGAGCCGGCGAACAAGTAAAAATTTACAGCCTGTTTTTGTAAAATTCCAAACGAACGAATTCGAGTGACTTACGACCAAACCTTTATTTATGTTTATAAATATTTTCTGATTCAAAACAAAAATAAATGACATATTTTTCAAAACCAAGGAGTTTGGTCGTAAGTCACTCGAATTCGTTCGTTTGGAATTTTACAAAAACAGGCTGTTAAACTTTTTATATCCTAAATCATGATGTGGACTTAAAGTCCAAGATGTCGCTGTACTCGGGAAGGTCAAAATATTTATACCCTTCACCACACTGTGGTACAGGGTATTATGTCTTTGTGCATATGATTGTAACAGGCAAAAGGAAACGAGGTAGACACATGGTTCCTTTTGAGAATATGCATAGAATCACTTTCTAAATCGATTTATGCATGTCCGTCTGTCTGTCGATGTTAAATTGTAAACAAAGTACAGGTCGCATTTATGATCCGAATTGGATGAAATTTGTCATAGGTCGCTTATTCGGCCCAAGGACGAACCCTATTGAAATTGGGAAAAATCGGTTCCGATTTAGATATAACTCCCATATATATATATATATATATATATATTTAACCGATTTAATGTAAACGGTCCCTATCATTAAATTTGCATGGCATTTGGTACAGCCTAATCATTTAGGTCTAGAATGATGTCTGCTAAGTTTCGTGAAAATCGGTCCAGATTTAGATATAGCTCCCATATATAGTTTCGTCCGATTTCATGTAAATGGTGCACCAAATTCTCTATATATCCTTCGATTTGCACGAAATTTGGTATAACGCACTGAATTGAGCCTAGAGTTATGTCTGGCAAGTTTTGAGAAAATCGGTTCAGATTTAGATATACCTCCCATATATAGTTTCGTCCGATTTCATGTAATTGGTGCCCCCAAAGTCCCTATATATCTTTCGATTTGCACGAAATTTTGCATAACGTACTGAATTAAGCCTAGAGTGATGTCTGCCAAGTTTCGAGAAAATCGGTCCAGATTTAGATATAGCTCCCTTAAATAGTTGCGTCCGATTTCATGTAAATGGTGCCCAAATCCCTATATATCTTTCGATTTGCACGAAATTTGGCATAACGTACTGAATTGAGCCTAGAATGATGTCTTCCAAGTTTCGAGAAAATCGGTCCAGATTTAGATATAGTTCTCATATATAGTTTCGTCCGATTTCATGTAAATGGTGCACCAAAGTCCCTATATATCCTTCGATTTGCACGAAATTTGGCATAACGTACTGAATTGAGCCTAGAATGATGTCTTCCAAGTTTCGAGAAAATCGGCCCAGATTTAGATATAGCTCTCATATATAGTTTCGTCCGATTTC